TTTTTTTTTTTTTTTTTTTTTTTGAGACGGAGTCTCACTCTGTCACCCAGGCTAGAGTGCAGTGTGCAATCTCGGCCTACTGCAACCTCCACCTCGTGTGTTCAAGTGATTCTCCTGCTTGAGCCTCCCAAGTAGCTGGGATTACAGACGTTCACCACTATGCCCGGCTAATTTTTGCCTTTTTTTTTTTTTTAAGTAGAGACGGAGTTTCACTGTGTTGGCCAGGTTGGTCTCAAACTCCTGACCTCAGGTGATCCGCCCATCTCAGCCTCCCAAAGTGCTGGCATTACAGGTGTGAGCCACTGCACCCTGCCAATTTTTGTATTTTTAATAGAGTTGTGCTGACACTTGCAGTGACTGCTTGTGTCTTAGCATAAATCAGGGCAGTGACAGCAAACTAATAGTAGTTGCCATATTCTTCATGACCGTGCACTTGCAGTTAAAGAAAAATCCCAGTTTCACTGAAGAATGACCTTGATGAACCAGTAAGAGTAGTTTTTACTAAATCTTGACCCTTGAGGGCTGCCTGTCTTTTTTTAAAAATAATGGCTTTATTGGGATATAATTCGCATACCATAATACTCTTTATACAATTCACTGGTTATAACTATGGTCATAGAGTTGTACAGCCATTATGATCTAATTTTAGAGCATTTTTATCACCCCAAAAGGAAACCCATACTCTTTAGCAGTCACTCTTCATTCCCTTCCCCTCATCCCCTGACAACCACTACTGTACTTTCTGTTTCTTTGGATTTGCCTGTTATTTCATATCAGTGTAACTGTACAATATGTGTCCTTTGGTGTTTGGCTTCTTTCATTTAACATGATGTTTTCAAGGTTCATCTGTGTCATAGCATGTGTCAGTACTTCATTTCTTTTTATGGCCAAATACTATTCCATTGTATGGATATACCACGTTTTATTTATCTGTTGGTGGACATTTAGGTTGTTTCCACTTTTTTGCTATTATGAATAATGCTGCTGTGAACATTTGTGTAGGTAGTATTTTGTGTGGAAATGTTTTCCTGTGGATATGTACCTAGGACTGGATTGTTGGGTTATATGGCAATTGTGTTTTAACAGTTGTGTTTTTCCAAAGAGACTATACTGTTTTGCATGTGTTGAGGGTTCCAGTTTCTCTCTAGTTCCACCAACCTTATTATTGCCCGTGTTTCTGATTACAGCCATCCTAGTGGGTATGAAGTGGTATCTTGTTATGGTTTTGGTTTGTAGTTCCTACTGCATATCTTTATAGTATTCTTTGTGATGAAATGGGAAGTATGCTTTAATAAAAGATTTTTGCTGTATATCAAAATAAGAAATATCTTTAAAAACACTTTTTTTTTTCTCAGTTATGCAGTTCTGTGAATGGTAAGCAGAACTAGATGCTATTTTCATGAAATGCTGTTTTTACTTGAAAGAATGACTGATTTTGGTTTTGAGATTAATGTAGTTAAGTGACAGATACTTTATATAAAAAAAAACAAACAAACAAAAAAAACAAACGTAAGCCTGTCATGTGAAGGAAGAAAATTTGTGCTTTCCAGTGAAAATTAGAATTTTGGAAAACTCAAATCTATTATGAGCTTGATAGATTCTTAATATTTTTCTGTTCAGATAGGTAGTGATACTAACAAAGCTTTTTTGATACTGTATTTTAATGAAATGTGCTAACTCTTGGAAGAGCTGTGTGATAGCTCAGTGAATCAGCAGTTTTCAAATGACCAACTCATATTATAAAATTATGCATGGGTAAAAGATCCTTTGAAAGTGCAGCATAAGACCAATAACAATGTAGAAAGTTTACAGATAGAGTGTCAGATTCCACATTTGGACTGAACTTGAAGAAACTGACACTTGTTAAGTTTGGTGTAGTATCAAAGAAAACCCACAATAGGCTGAAAGGATATTAGGTTATTCTTGCCCTTTCCAGGTACATATCTGTGAAAGTAGATATTCTTCATATGCTTCAACCCGAGCCATGTATTGCTCTTAAGAGGTTGAATGCAGAAGCAGATTTGAGGCTTTAATGTCTTTTATTTACTCTACACATTACGGAAATTTGTGAAAGTGTAAAACATGGTTTTCTCATTAAACTTTCTTTGTTGTTTTGAAAAATGTTTTTCATAAAATGTTAATTTATGTTAATGTGTAATGGATTTATTTTTTCATGAATTAAAAAATTTAAATTTCTGTTTTGATACAGTAAATGTCAATATATACACATATACCAACCACATGAACAAAAGTTTTTTGTGAATGTCAGTAATATATAAGAGTTTGGAAAGGAGTTCTGAGACTAAAAGGTTTGAGAGTTAGTAAGGTGGCAGACTACTGAAGACATGAAAGATAGTTTTTAGAAACCAGTTTTTAATGTGCGTACAGGATTAATGTTACAGAGTTCTATAGATGTTAGAAACAAAATCTCTAGAAACTTTGTGATTTTCGTTGGTCATGAAATTTAGTTGGTATAAAGCACTAAGTTCTTCAGTAAAGTAAGTTCTTTTCAAATGTTACCAGAATGGAAACACTATGAATTGAATACAAAATGGAATTTTACTTTATTGAATGGTAGCCAGGAAGAGTAAAATAAATACTCCAGAAAGCCATTAAATTTGAATTTTGTCCCAATTTTAAAGGAATGGGGAGATTATTTGAGAAAGTAAAAGTTTTTTTTTTTTTTTTTTTTTTGAGACGGAGTTTCACGTGCAATGGCGCGATCTCGGCTCACTGCAACCTCCGCCTCCTGGGTTCAGGCAATTCTCTTGCCTCAGCCTCCTGAGTAGCTGGGATTACAGGCACACACCACCATGCCCAGCTAATTTTTTGTATTTTTAGTAGAGACGGGGTTTCACCATGTTGACCAGGATGGTCTCGATCTCTTGACCTCGTGATCCACCCGCCTCGGCCTCCCAAAGTGCTGGGATTACAGGCTTGAGCCACCGCGCCCGGCGAGAAAGTAAAAGTTAAATAAAAGCAAGTGAGAATAAAAGTGCCGTATAAGACATGGCATATTTAGTAATTAAAAACCAGGAAGTTGCTGGGCGTGGTGTCTCATGCCTGTAATCCCAGCACTTTGGGAGGCCAAGGTGGGCGGATCACCTGAGATCAGGAGTTTGACACCAGCCTGACCAGCATGGAGAAACCCTGTCTCTACTAAAAATACAAAAATTAGCTGGGCATGGTGGCTTATGTGTGTGATCCCAGCTACTTGGGAGGCTGAGGTAGAAGAATCGCTTGAACCCAGGAAGCGGAGGTTATGCTGAGCCAAGATCGTGCCATTGCACTCCAGCCTGGGTAACAAGAGCGAAACTTTG